CACCGCCCTTTTACTTTCTTTTTTCCAATACTTCGCGCCTCGACCGCTCGACGCTACACCTCTGAAGTCCGACCCAAAAGCTCCGGCCGCTCCTCGCCTTGCTTCGACGACCCGCCTCACCTCCGAGGCTCCGACACAAAGGCTCGACTCCCCGCCTCCGCCTCGACCCCCTGCCTCCGACCCGACTCCAATTTCAGATATGGTAATTGGTACATTTAAAAAAAAAATGTTCATGCTATCATGTATTAGTATGTAATTAGATGTTAAGAACTTAGGATGATGTTGAAATTGAAATATATTTCTTGTGATTTGAATTGCTGTGGAATTTGGTATGTGTTAGGAGTTAGGATGGATTTATGTTTAGAATTTAGGATGAATTGTTGTGTTGTTATCTTGAGTTAATTGTGATTTGGTATGGCTTAAATTAAGATGAATTGATGTGCTGCGTATAAGTAATTTTTCAGTTTTATTTATTTATTTTATTCTTATTATTTTTTTTTTGCGGGTCGACCTGCGCCAAAATGGGCCAGGGCATGGTACCGACCTGTTGGACCCGTCGCGGGTCACGGGTCAAGTCGGGTCCACAGGGAAAAAATGCTGGCCAGGTCTGGATCCGCAGGTACCTAGCCCGACCTAGCCCATTGCCATCCTTGACTTTCCAATTGATAATTGATCATGAATATCAAACTGATAGAAGTTATATTTTAATCGATAGTTTCAGAATCTTTATGCCACCAAATTGATAATTGACCCATTTTTTTTTTTGTTGGTTTTCCCTTTGCCACAAAAGAACTCTCTCTTATAGGGCCTTCCTTGTAATTTTCACTAAAATAAAGGATAAGTCGCAAAAACAGGTCGCTCCTTGAAGCAAAACCCTCACAGCCAGTCCCGCGCCTCCGTTAGTCCTCCGCCACCACCGCAAATCCGGCGACAAAACCCTAAACCCTTCCGGTTCATACTCCCTACTCACACCGTCTCCCGGCGACTCCTAAGATTCCCCAGCCATGGCAGAAGACAAAGGGGATAAATCGTTCAAAGACTTGGGCGTGAACGAACAACTAGCCGACGCGTGCGACAATCTCGGCTGGAAGAACCCTACAAAGATACAGGCAGAAGCCATACCTCTTGCTCTGGAGGGCAAGGACATAATCGGGCTCGCCCAGACCGGGTCGGGTAAAACTGGCGCCTTCGCGATTCCGATTCTGCAGGCGCTTTTTGAGGCCCCGCAGGCTTTCTTTGCCTGCGTGCTTTCCCCCACTCGTGAGCTCGCCATTCAAATCGCCGAGCAGTTCGAAGCCTTGGGGTCGGTAATTGGGGTCAAATGTGCAGTGGTAAAATATCATATTTGAAGAAAATTGTTTTATGAATGTAGTAGTTGGTAATGAGTTTTTTTTTTATTGCTAATTTGGATTTGAAATGATCCTGTTGCAGCTTGTGGGAGGGGTAGACATGGTCCTGCAGAGCAATGTCCTTGGCAAACGTCCACACATTGTGGTGAGTATTGTTTTGTACTCGTGATTGAGCCTCGTTAGGAATACTAGTAGTGTTTAGGAACTATGTCGAGTACTATTGAGATACAGAAAATGTGGCAAAAGCTATTCGTGAACATTGTTAGTGGCTTGGCCTACCTTAGTGCACATCTTGTTGTCTGCTGAATGAGTATAGGAATAATTTGGTCGTTCTTTTATTAGTCTAATTTTATGGTCAGTTCTTTATAGTGATGATTGATTATCAGTAACAGTTAGTGTTGTCGTGTTGGTATGGAAGTTTTTTTTATGCTTTGGAGGGTGGGGCGGGGAGGTGATCGGCTGGAGAATAAATGATAACTTTGGATGCTCCAATGGTCATCATTTGCGTTTTAATTCGTTTGTATGAAGACTTTTCTGATATTAATGGGAGCTAAAACTCTCAATTTTTGTGTTATGTAGATTGACAAGCCATTTTTGGGTTGGTCACCTTGCTAGGTCGACGGTTTTATAATTGCGATCTTATATGGTTTGTATGTTAATTAATTAAGACAATTTCACGAGCTCCTCCCTTATATGTGGATGTGTTTTGTCCTTTATCTTGTAGGTTGCTACACCTGGTCGTCTTGTTGATCATCTTACCAATACCAAGGGTTTCACTTTGCGTACACTGAAATACTTGGTAAGAATTCTTTGGATTCTAATTTTAGCTCGATAACTACGTGTATCTGTTTATGAGCTGGCAGTAATATTTAAAACTATGCCTGTATGAATTTTTTGATTTAGATAGAAGCTATAAATTGCTGCATTCACTGTATTTTTTTTTCTTGAACATGTGATATTGTTAACAAGTGTAGAACATTGGAATATGAAACGGTCAGAAGTATGCTCATTTGGATGCCAATACGGCGCTTTGTAGTATGTGTAATGTGTTCGGATTAGAGATTTTTTATTTTTAACTGTGTAAGTAGAGTAGATATGGCATGATAAATCTGTTGCTTACATTATTGGTAAAAAAATTTGGCAGGTACTGGATGAAGCAGATAGATTGCTTAATGATGATTTTGAGAAAGCAATTGATGAAATACTAAATGTTATCCCTCGTGAACGGAGGACATATCTATTTTCTGCAACCATGACCAAAAAGGTACATGTAGCTATCGTCTAATGCATATGTGCAGTCTTCTGTGCATGCATACACAAGAAGGAAAGTAAATGAATGAGACTGTGATTATGATGAGATTAGTTTCTTCTTGAATTCATGGAGTTGTTTGTGTGTAACTTATTTGTTCCCTATGTAGCATGAAATTATAATAAGCGGTCCTTTAAATTTACAGGTGAAAAAGCTACAAAGAGCTTGTCTGAAAAATCCTGTTAAGGTACTGCATTTTCTGTCTGTCGCTTCCTCGTAAGCTCTTGACAATAATAATGTTTGTTCTTTTTTTTTTGTTGGGGGTCTAATCTTTTTTTTTTTTTTGGTTCGACTACAGATTGAAGCCGCTTCAAAATATTCTACTGTCGATACGCTTAAGCAGCAGTATTGTTTTGTTCCTGCAAAGTACAAGGTCAGTATATGACCCTTTTTAGCATGGGTACGTAAATATTTGTGTTTACCTAACATCTGAAATGATTTTACTTCCTTTTGTTCCCTTTGCTCCAGGATTGTTACCTTGTCTACATTTTGACCGAAATGTTAGACAGGACATCTATGGTTTTCACTCGAACGTGTGATGCCACTACACTCTTGGCCCATATTCTTCGAACCCTTGGCTTTGCAGCCATTCCAATTAACGGCCATATGACCCAGGTAATGTTTTTGGGTAATCCAGTTATGTGCTGGAGTTCCAGTGTTTCTCATCTAACTTATACATTCAATATCTCATGATATCGAGTCTCTATTTTTTGTTATTGTCTTTTTTTTTTT